GATAACAGTGACAAAAAAAACGGAAATAGACGGGGAGGGGGGGGGTGAGACAAGAGTCACACACGATCCAACAGATCACAGAGAGCGTTCCTGCCGCACATTGCGTTCTAGCGTCTCCTCGCGGCTGCACACACCGAATACTTCGGCCGACAACCGTCGACTGCCCACTCCTCGTGAGGTCTGTCCTTGCGCATCGTACGAGTTCGGACGAGAGAGGAGAGAGGCTGTGTGCAACTTTGTTGTGTTTTTTTTGTAAGAAAAAAAAAATCTCCGTTTTTTGGCCTCTTCGGCCTACAGCACCCACGAGCACACCTTGGTCAGGGGAGCACACACACTGCGCGCTGTGCCCCCGTAGTGACATCCCAAGGTGACCCTTCACTGAGCAAAGCGAGGCGGACTGTCGCCATGTCTTCTGCTAACGTTGCCGCGAAGAGATCTCCGGATGCCGCAGCCACATCGCCAGGATACCAAGGGTCGGATGGCGCTTCCTCGAATCAACAAACCACAGAGCAGCACGCGGTGAGCGGTGCTGAGTCCCAAGCAGCGCCTGCCTCAGAGCCGGCAAAGGCAAATGAGGTCGTGGAGCCCAGCACCGACGCCGCTGCGGATGGTGCCGGCGAGGTAGCGGCTGGCGCCAAGGCAAGCGAGGAGAGTGGCGGCGATGCCACGCCGAAAGAGGTGTGTGTGTGTGTGACTGCTGTGTGACACATGGAAGAGAGGCTACATCCGCGCGGTTGATTTTCTTAGGCCGCTGGGGCCAAACGTATGTATTTTAGTGTGCATGTTCTGTGATGGCCTTCGTTCGACCTTGTCAATCCACCACTTTCAATTTCCTCCTCTGCTGCGCCCTTGGCTTGCAACAAAGCCCGAAAATGTCAGCAGATGTTACCCGCACAGAACAGAATGTCGCCACAGTCGAGGTCGCACGACAGCGTTGCACTGCCTTTCACCCATGGCGTTGCACAACCCCCGTGGCGATTGTGTGCTCGGCGTTTGGCGTTCAACGCTTGACCTTGGACAAACCTCTCTCTGGAGAGGGCAAGAGGGAGCCGGAAAAACAATCACGGCACATAATTTTTGTCGAAACGCGCTTTTTTTTGTGGGTGTTTTTTGGTCCTTGTGGCGTCCGGCCACCAGGGGAAATGTGCTTCAACCCCAAAAACAAAAACAGGGCACGGTCCGCGCGCCAGCGCGCACGAATTGCCTCGCTCTAGGCAAGCAGTCGTAGCGAAACTCACGCCTAGGGCAGTTGCGACTTTCCCTCTCCCGCGTACCCTTCATGGTCTTTCGCGCACAACGCCCCACACACACACGCACGGACAATATTTTCTCCCGCAAAGGGGCTTCTTTCGCTGACTGGGTCTCAGTATGTTTTTTTGTGGGTGCCAAGGATTTCTTCTGGTTTGGATTGTTTTTTTTCAAACAAAGGGCCGCCCCTGTCAACTTACCCCCTGTGTGCGGCCCGTGGTCAACGCACGTCCACACCGCTCGTACATACCTATGTTCGTACGCTCTGCTGTTGCTGTGTTTTTTTGAAAACATGAACGAACCCCAATTTGCCGTGACGACTTCCGCGCCCACGCCGCCCGTTATTTTTGGCGTCTGCCGTCCGTGCGTGGCATCGCTTTCTTTCTCGCCCCTTTTGTGTTTTTTTTAAGGCGGAGGGAGGCGAGACGGCGGCGGCGGCGGCAGGCACTCCTAGTGAGAACAATCTGATCATCAACTACCTGCCATCCCATGTCACGGAGATCGAGCTGCGGGTGAGCAGCCGTTATTTGCAGTTCCGATGACAGACAACAAGAGACGACAAGGCGTTTTTTTTTATTTTGTTTTGTGATTGCCACGTCTCCAAGCCGGGAAATCAGGGCAACGGCACTGCTACCTCTCTCTCACACGCTCCTATCTATGCATTTTCCTGGCCAACGGCTTATATTGATCTTCCCCTCACGGGGTTTCGTTTTCGGAGTGGCAGCAATCATGCGCGCGTGACTTCTGTCAATTTTTTTCTCCCTGCTGTGGAGCAATGGCTCTATTGTTCATAAAAACTACTGCTGTCAACCGTTCTCCCTCCCCTATTCTTTGTTGTTTATTGATACCACGCGATTTTAGGAACGCTAAATCTGTCCAGCGTGTGTTGTTGTATGCATAGTCGTTAGTTTAGCCCTTGCGTGTTGGTCTGTTGGGTCTCCCTCCCTGTTGCCCTGTGCGAACGATGCACACGGGCAGCATGCCTCAATGCTGTTGTCGTTTAATCATGCTGCGGTTGTTCGACCAAAAAGTACGATAAGAAAAAGCTCGGCGACACCCGAGGAAAAGTTTTTGATCTGCCACTACATATCTGCTTTGGTGGTCGCGCAGTCCCAGGGTGCGTCCCCCCCCCAACAAAAAAACTACTTTGCCAGGTTTGTGCCAGCATCTGACAGCAGTGGAAATAAACCGACCGGGGGTAGGGAGGGAGGCCTTGGATGCCCCGTGGGTCCATCGCATGGGCCTCTTTTACATACCAGGACAACGCAGAGGATGAACAAAAGCACCAGCTGCTCTAGTCTCCTACAATCAGAAGAGGGGGGGGGTTGGCCTGTTCGGGTCTTCTCACGATAACTCTCGAGCTTTATTCAGCAGTTACAGGTGTAGCGCGCAGTGGCTCAATCCCCTGCTGATGCTTTTCTCTCCTCTTCCTCCCTTTGAAATCTGTATCTTATACTCGTGCGCGCGTAGGCTGAGCGGCAGCTGCAGTAGCATACCGCGATTCGATTCACCCGTAAAGATTATTCCGCCTGGCTGTTGCCTGCTGGAGAGGTGGTTAGCCTTGACTCTTCATATCCGTCCGTCCGCGGCGGGCAAAAGCGTGCGTACGTCCGGTGTTTCGGCCTTGTTGTACTCTTCTCCAAGGCAAAAAAATTGCCCGTGGGGCTTTTGGTCTTCTCTCTCTTGTCGCACACCAGGAAAAAGGAGAAATTTGGAGTGGTGACGCGCTGCGAAAAGCCCTGCTGCTGCCGTTCTTTTTCTTTCGACATGTTGACTTTTTTTTTGCTCTTGCAACAGGGTGATTAGCCTACAGAGGGGCGCTGCTATGGTGCACACCGATGCGTGTGCTTTATAATATCGATATCGTTGTTTAGCAGGGTGCCACGTGGTCCCCTCGCAACAGGAACAGGATGAACATGTAAAGCACTAAAAATATGATGCACAGCAGTAGTCGATGCCTGTGCTTCTTTGGTGGCTGTGGAACGTGCCCAGTGGTATGCCCACAGAAGCTACTTGCTGTCATTTCGGACTCAAGCACTGCCTACATGAGCGCGACAGATCTGCGACTCGGCGTTTTGCCAGGAGGCAGCCGGTAGTTGCTGCTTTCGGCAGGCAGGTGGCACTGCTGCTGTCGGTGGCGGCTTCCGCACAAAAGACCGAAAAAAACGGCTCCTCTTTCGAGCGATCGCGCCTCTTGAGTTGCGTCAATCGTTTGGGTTATTTTTTTTGAAGTGCACACACGTGTCAGTCATCGATTCATTCCATAGGGAGAAGTTTTCTTTTGGCGCCCGAAACCCGGTTCCACCCCCTAGTCTTTTGTCGTTTGCGTGTGTTGGTTGAAATACACGCTGAGCCACTCGGCAACCACGCGCCATTAATTTCCCACACGTTGACACCGCGTGTGTGTTGTCACCTACAACAGAGCACACCCACTAAACGCATTTTGGTAGGTGTTTCCTCGACTAAACGTACGTGTGCTTTTTCTACATACCGTGTAGCCATGCGGCGTTTCATCACTCACTCCATTGAGTGGTGAAAAACATTACATGCATATGCATGGTGCATGACAATTTTTGCTTGTGGACGAAATAGTAGATTTCGACGTGTGCGGCGTTGTGTGGTTAGCAAGAATGAGTAGATAGTACAGCCAGCCGTAGTGCGCTCGTTCTGTGGACGACACTGCCTGCTGTGGCTTGACCGTTTGTGATGGGGCACAACCCTCCAGTTACTTCAATGCCGACAGCATCCTTCACCATAACTCCCAACCACCCAGGGCCCCCTGTTGGTGTTGTGCGTGCACGAAACAATTACCCACCAAAATCAAGGTTGGAAACAAACCCCTCGTACTTGTAACGCACTTTTTCCTGGTCCATCCCGTAGAACAGCAGCTGCTGCCGTGCTCCCCACCATCTCAACGTCATGTCGGCGCTGAGTCTCTCCCTACACCCCCCCGGCTTAACACGCTGAACAAATATTTAAGCAACCCACGCCGGATGGCACATGCACAAAACATCCGGCAACCCCGGGCAAATTGATTTTTCGTTCGCCGGAACTCACAGCAGTAACAGAGCTGTGGACCCCGATATATGTATTGCCGCGTACTCATGTAGTCGGAAAAAAATGGAACGTACTTGTACATGATGTCAAATCGGTTAGATTGATATGACATTACTATCGAGAGGTTGACGAGGTTGTGATCCGGAAATGTTGCGTCCATGTGGACGCGTGGGAGATGAGTTCATCCGAACAGATATTGTCTGGGGTTGTTGCGCTCCAGTTTGAAATAGCTTTTGCAAGCTGCACCACGGCTGTACGCTGTTGCTTGCTGTTCGTATCGACTTAGTCAGCCGTGGTTGGCTACTGCTGCTATTGGTTGAATGTACACCTGCTCTCTCTTCCCCGAAGCCCGACTTCATATGTAGTCAGCCTTAGCTGCTGCTGTGCATGCATGCATGCCTTTCTCGAGGGCCACACATTGCTGCAGTATCTCTGTCGTGGTCGACGGATGCACCGCGACCAAGCTCCGTTTGGGGGTAAAAAAATTCACCACGACTCAACTTTTATCGTGCTATGCATACTCTTGTGTGCAGGAACAAAGAGCGTCGGTATATCTTGCCGACGAATGCATCTCCCTCCCTCGGATGCGTGCCAAATTCTTTTTACTTTCGATCGTGATATGCATAGAACAGATGGCCCTTGCCGGTCCTCCTGGCGGTACTGTAATCCTCCAGGGTGCTGAATGGTCTTGGCTGCGATGGCGGCAACTAGTCGCTCTCAAGGGGTCACCAGAGTGACACGCTTCCCTGGCAACTCGGCAGCCTCGAACCGCGGTGCACGTCGAAAACATGATCCCGATTTCATACCGTGAACCACAAAGGAACCGCGCGAACGCAACGGGGGACATCTGGCATGCAGATTTATAGTAGTGTCTGTCGCCGCGGTGTTGTGTCCGTCCGGGTGTTCCATGCGTCCTGGCCCATTCACTGCCCCCCGCCCCCCCCTTTTCCTCGTCATGTTGGTCTCCTTTCTTTTGGGCGTGGCTTTCTCGCAGAACATGTTCGCGGTACACGGAGATCTAGCGCATGTGAAGGTAGTCTACGACCGATCGACGGGCAAGAGCATGGGCTATGGGTTCGTGAAGTTCACGACCAATGAGGCGGCGGCGGCCGCAACCCTTGCAATCAACGGCATGGCCATCGACCGGAAGCGGATAAAGGCGAGACAAAGTGACTATTGCTGTTTTTGCCCAGTTTGGTGTAGCGTCACTACACACCGTACAGACAGAAGCGGTCTTTTTCACGCCGAGAGAGAAGATAGAACGCTTATCTTCCTTTGCAAGACGAAAAGAACACCATTCATGATTCGTTTCGAGTGTTGACCTTTAAAGGTCTGTTTTGTAACGGCGCCCTCCCCCCGCCGTCCCATACTGGCGACGCCCTCTCACAACGTGTCGCGTCTGTAGGTGAGCATAGCTCGGCCTTCGTCAAAGGACATCAAGAACTCGAAGTTGTACGTGACGAACTTGCCGGATCACTTCAGCCAGGACCAGGTCGTCGAGGTGTTCGAGCAGGTGCATGCAAATTGGGGTGTTGTTGTTGCTGTTGTTGTGTGATCCCGTGTGGTGTTTTTTCCCGAGTTGACGAACGTCGTCCACTTGTTTGGCGGCCATATGTAGATGTGTTCGACGAGTTCGGGGGGGATGCGCTAACACTCACAATTTGCTCGCGACGGCAGAGCACTTCTACCCTACTTCTGTGTGATGTAGCACTGCTTTGATCCATGAAGTCAAAGGTAGTTTTGTATGATGCGTATCCCTGCCAAGGAAGGGACCCGAGGGAACCCTACTACAACTGAAGTAACGCGAGGGCGCTGGTGTTGGTAGTGGGTGGGTCAATCGTTGTGTTTGGGAAGTCATCCTCCCAAGCCCAATGCAGTGGAAAATCGTGCGGTGTCGAGGCCGCGGTGCGGTTGTTTCACTAGGGTCGAGACGAGAGCCAGCCCGTGCACACGTTGTTGTGGCAACAGCAACTCGCAGCAAGTCAATAGCGGCCGTTCGTTGTGATGGGAGAGCCTTGCATGACCTGACTCCCCTCTTGCGTTTTTCGCCAAGCTTTTGCCGGCCAATCGCGCCTAGCGACGACGCGTGAAATCACCCGACTCGATGGTGAAGAAGGCGTGCCTCATCTCGCTATCCCCGATGTACGCTCCTTATTTTGCCCCTCCGGGGGAAGCCAGCGAGGACAACATTGGCTTTAGTATATGCGTACGGTGGGGTTCACGTCCGTACACTATGGTTCGACGAATTGTGATGGTCAAAGTGTGTAATTACCAGGTTCTTTCAGTGTCGGTGCGGTCCTCTTGTTGCGGGGAGCCGCCCTGCGCTGCTTCGGCGAACCTTTCTTGTCTTCCAGTATCTATCCTCAAGGCCGGAAACGAATACCCGAGACAACGCGCAACATATGGCTTGGCGTCGAATACGAATGCAATCCGGCTCCCTTTTGCTGTAGACCTCGGGCTCCCAGCGACGGTGGTCGGTGGTCGGTGGCACCCAAAACACAACCTCGAGGCTCCTCCGCGCACGCCGCACGTCTGAGCTCTGCCTGAATGAAAGAGTTGCGTTTTTTCGCTCTCTCACCTGTCGAAATAGCGACGAACGTGAGATTATTTCGAGTGAAATTTTCCCAGGGTCTTGTGACCGCCGTCATTTACATCCATCCTCCCTGCTCACTTCCTTGCCCTTGTTCTCCCTCAACCACACCACCTGCGTATGTCCTCCTCCTCCTCCTCCTCCTCCCACGCGGCGGACAGGACGACGCACCTCAGCGGGAAATGAACGTACCACCGCGTAGACGTATGTTTTCGCTGTCTTGTGACCGCCAACATCTCACCCGTCTCCAATCTCTCACCTCCCTTGCCCTGATCCTGCCTTAACCAGACCACCTTTGTCTACCCCCCCCCCCCCCCCCCCCCCCCCTTTTTT